CACTGGGCATAAATTTTAATTTGTATGGAATTTCGTGTTATGTATATGCAGCAATGGAGACTTAGGTGAGGTTCAGAATATTGTTGTAGTGTTTTGGATGGCGTATTTCTGAAACGTGACCACTGAGAGAATCTTTCATTCGTAATATTTATCAAATTAGTAAGCTTAGCAAACTACCTAGAAAACTGAAAGTATAGCTTATTTATTATACAAATGAAAAACGTTTAAGGTCACAATCGTGAAAAGGATTTTGATTAGACACTAGTTAGTAATTAGTTTAATGTGTCTAGTCTTTTGTTTGTTGTTGACTGAATTCTATCAGTCAAGTTTGCAATGTGGCCACCATTCTAGGTGACTTGCCATCATGGTGCACTTTGAACTATTGATATTAGATGGTTGGAAGCAGTTGTCAGGATGCCTTCAACCTAAGTTTTGTGCTATTTGGCACTAGTCACCGTGTTAGATAAATCGCTTCTCTAAACAGAGTTCAGGGTATTCTTTGAGTATAGGAAGAGCTTCTTCTGTGGACTGCTCTGTCCAGTAAGCGTCAAGGGAAGCAGAGATCTTTGATAACTTAGCGTTTCAGGAAATCCGACTCTCGTAATTAACCAGTTGTATCCTTAAAGAAAATTGATGGATTGTGATTAGCTGTGGAATCCAGCATGCGCATTTCGTCCCAATGTTTTAAATTTTTGACTACTATCCAAGCAAGGCTTGTCCGGCCTAGCATAATAAATGTGACATCTAAGAAGGCCGAATACATAAAAATTCTTCGATTTTCTCATGAAGTGTAGATACGTGGTGGGAGTGGTTCATGTCAGGTCTTAAACTGTTTGGTTCCAGATTATGAATTTGCTAAGTTACCAGATAATCATCAGTTTTTCGTACCCAGATATTAGCATTACCTATATCATTGTTTATTCTACTTGGTTATGGAGTCAAATGTAATTTCGAATTTGTTCTAAGCAGTCGATCAATACTTCTAATTTCATGTTTGATAATTATTCATTTAATATATATATTTATATAGAGTATCCGCCAGCCAGTGTCACAGGCGAGCTACTGTCTTTTTGCTTGACTTTGTGGACCCTGGTGGTTGCAACTTCTCACTAGAACCCCAAGTAACTTCCAGCATAGAGCCAGTCGCTACTGGGTCATGTCCCAAGGGCTGAATGGTCCATGAGCTCTCCTCATGACCGGTACGTCCTGGGTTCGAACCCCGAAGGATACATTCTCATGAAGAGTACCAGACTAGGACGAAACAGCTGTCCAGTACTCCCAGGTTTTCCAGTGTTTTTCTGACTGATGTCAACTCGTGATCGATCGTCTAACCCATCAAATCCCTGCAAACCAACACTTGATAATTATTTGTTTACTCATTTACTACAAAAAACTATAAAATTTTCAAGATATACTCCAATATCTGCGGTCTTAAAAAATAGCACACTTTTAGGCTTAAAGTGGCAGTTATTAGCGGTACTCAAAGATCGTTTAACATTCCTGCTTTGACATCGTGGACGTGATGGTCGAGTACTGTTATCATCATGCCATAAAGAGAACAGTGTGTGTATGTGTGTGGCTATTCAGAAGTCAGGTTTGTAAGGATTTTAATGGTTTCATAGTACATCTCTTCGGGAAATAATATCATTACGTGAATCATTCAACACTGAGGACAGGTTGGGGGCTAAGCAGCCGTTCCACTCTAGTTTGTTTATTCACTACCCCACTAGAGACTTAACACAGTCATGTAGTCTACGAAGTGACAGTGTTTAACATTCGGTCAGTGAGCTGTAGTTCAGGACAAAGCAATTCACACAGTAGCAGAAATTAATTTAGCAAGTAGGAAAGTGGTCAGTATGCGTCTTGCGTATTGACTAAACGTCAGATATATGAAATAAGAATGAGTCCCTTCAGGTTCATCATTCATATCACATAAAATTAATAAAGATTTACTTTTTTATTTTTGATTACAGCTTGATTCCACACCATATATTTTGGTACAAGTATGGAATTTTCAGCATGTGATATCGGTAGCCCGAATTTTGCAGGCCGACCATAGATGTCAGGTGTGCATCAGCAGGGTATCGAACCCCAAACCATGTGCATGGTCGGCAAGAGTCATAACCGCTGTGCCACCGACGCACAAGATTGTATCATTATGAAATTGATGAAATAATCAAATTACTGAAACTCATTTTAAAAAAATAAATGCATCAATTAGTGGATTTCTGTCAGAAATCTAATCTGCAGTACAAATCTGAATAACCTACATCTATTTACAACTAAATTTTGATTCAAGAAATGCAATGAACTCATTGTAAATATGTTCCAGTAGCGATAACAGATAGGTAGAAATTAGCCTTAAAATCATGCACATTAAAGTTAGCAAAAACAGCCGACCTGGTAAAAATAAAATCCTTGATAATGTACCGACAATCGTTGAAGTGAGAATCGTATCCCTTGAAATAAATTCATTTGAAATATTATTATCACTGATGTATATCTGTGACAGAGTGAGAAATAAAAGGTTCCAATGTGACCGTTGATATAAGATTAGAACTTGGCCACCGTGGTAGAGTATATATGATTCCATTATGGAGGAAATTTTATTTTGGTAAAGTCTCACAGTGTTATACAGTAATATTTACTGATGACGACGTTACGAGCACAATTTATTGCCGCTCATAATTATATCAAGGTACTCACGTAACTTTCTGACTTCGTTTGTATACATTCACATGGCTAATCAATATTTTACTCATGTATATGAATGAAGTTAGAAAGTTGTGTGACTACCTTGATATGATTGTGAGCCATAAATTTGGCTGAAAACGTCATCAGTAAATATCCCTGTATAAAAATGTGTGACTTTATCAAAAAATAACTTTCTTCATAATGGAATCTAGTGTTTTGTTTCCTTCACGTTCCCAGTGGAACATAGGGCTTCAAGCTAGGGGCTTGAAGTTTCTGTAGCAGTGTTTATTTTACAGGATGGGGTTGCTAGCCTCATGCCCATTCTTTCCTCTTCACCAGCATTATTTCTGGCTTGGCGAGGTAAATGAGTGCGTCGGCCGGTGATCGAACCTCGGACCATGTGCATGGTCGGCGAGCGGCCTATTCGCTATGCCACCGACGCACATAATGGAATCTAGTGTGACCGTTTTAATTGTCAGTTACTGATATATGCTGAAAAGATTTTAAGTCAGCTTACTTTAGTTGTAAATACATCAGCAGATGCGTCGGCTGGCTGATAATCTAGAGGGTGGTTATTTTAGTTCTGCTGCAGCCAAGATTTTCCTTTCACCACTCATCATCACGTATTACGCCGAGATTACACACATTCTGATAAAGTTTTCGGTGTCGACGAAATAAGCAGGACTCTTTAAATTAAAAATAGAGCGAGGAGTAACCAGAAGTGAATACATATGGTGTATTCTCAGAAAAGGCCAAATACATGATTAGATCACAGTAACCGACAAACTGGTCGAAGAAGCAGCAAAGACAGGACTCCAGGTGAACATAGACAAGACGGAGGTTATGAAAATAACCAACCAACAATAACAACAGCATCAGCAACATCCAGCGCCAATCACCATCAACAGGAGGGATTTGAAAGAGGTGACTTCATTCACTCACTTATCTAGGGAGCATTGTCTCAACTACAGGCAGGTGGAACCGACGAGGATGTCAAATCGAGAATCGGGAAGGCGAGAAACACATTCATCAACCTGAAACCAATCTGGAAATATTCGTCACTCAACTCACCATCAACAACAAACTGATTCGGATTTTCAATACAAACGTCAAGTCTGTTAGTTCTTCTATACGGATGGATCAGAAACTTGGCGGGTGACGAAGAATATTTCCAACAGCCTGTTGCGGACCTTTATCAACAACAACTGTCTTCGTTCTATACTGAAGATCAGATGGCCGGAAAGAACAAGAACCAACAAGAAACTATGGGACAAACAAAACAAGAACCAATCGCCCAACAAATAAATATGCAGGAGAAAGTGTAGATGGATTGGACACTCGCTGAGGAGGCCACTGGGTGACATCGCGCGTCAGGCCAGTGATCGAGTGGAACCCGAAAGGGAAGTGGCGAGTGGGACGTCAGTGCAAGGGTGACATGGAGGAGATAGTGTGAAGAGGAGTTGAAACAGAATGGACTAACATGGATGCAGGTGAAAAGTACATCAGAAGACATTGGCAAGAGGAGACGTGCAGTTGAAGCCGTATGTTCCACTAGGAACCCAAGGTAACAATAATAATAATAATATAATAAACTCAGGAAACAAATGTCATGAACATCAATAGTTATCTGGTTAGTTAATCTATTTGACATCCAAAAACGATATGATGAAATGTTATTGCTAATTGTAGGGCGTGTAAAATGTCATGTTAACACATCAGAGTTTGAAGGATAACATTCAAAAATGAGTACATTTCAAAACAAACTAACAAATACCAATTATGTTTATAAGCAAGCTATGACTATGTCAAATAAAATATATAACATCATCTGATTACAAAAACTCTGATCACAATAAAGATATCATCATAGTAAAACAACTATAAATTCATATCACTTACATGACATATGAAATGGAAGGGAAAGCATAATGCAAAAAAGAAGGATGAAGACATGAAAACGATTTGACATTAAAAAACACAATCAGATGAAATGATCAGACAAGTAGTGAATGACTGACTGACTGACTGACTGTACAGGCAAATGAGGATATGTCTGCTATGATGCCTATCAATCTGTCGTTTGATTGAAAAGAAATCTCCGTCTCTCTCTTATAACTGCTGTCAACTATGACGATGATGAGTCAATGTGGAAATTATAATCAGTACTGGGGATCGTCTTCTTTTATTTCAATGAATAACTAACTCCTACTTGTCTATCAATGACATGACAAAGATTTATACAGTTAAACAATGTAGAGATTGATTTTAAAAATGAATTTCCTTTATTTGCTTTTGTTATATTGCAGCAACTTCGTATGAATGTCACAGTCTCAGAGATCGATGGAGGGAGTGCAGATTCTGGACAAGGTGCAAGTGAAGAAGAACCAGTTAATCAAGAATTATCAAAATGTAAGTTGTGTAACACAATTCTACTTGTTTAGGTGCCTGTGAAGTGTCTTAAATTTGGGCAGAAAACCAATTTGTCTTTCTAAAGTATTATGACTCAGGAACTGACTTGCAGCCAGGGAAAGTAGCCGTTGATTTGTAGTACTTAGAGGATATTGAGCTTTTGAATTAAAGTAGTGACAAAATCGAGAGTCTTCTGGATACTTTATCCTAAGATCTGAATATGGGTTAACATATGATTACTGCTTTCAGACGTAATATATCGCTGTAGAACTAATGTGAACGGAGTTATAGCTTAAAGGCAGGAAGTGCAAGTGTTGAACGTATCGACCATTTCACTTATTTTAGTGGAGTTCTCTTAATGGAAAGACTAGTGACGAGACCTCAGCACTGGTATTTAGGTTACACTTGAAATTTACCAACTTACGTCATCGAGAACCAAGTGTGTCTCTGAGGCGATATAACCATTTGAAAAGAACTAAAATCGTCTTCAGACAAAACAGACGTAATTTATCAAAATGTGTAATGTATTCGTGCAACACATTTCACACATTCTGACCCCACATATACTTGTCATATATATTTATATAAAAGGTATCAGAGAATGAAGGATCAAAATTTCATTAATACAGGTGAAAATGCTTAAGCGTTGCAATCACAGATGTGACGTAGGAAAATAAGATAAGGATAAAACAGGGGTGAAGTTAAATCAACCATACTTCTGAAACTGGATTAGCAGGGCAGGTTCAGAGTAATGACAAATAATTTTTGAGTATTGATTTTGTAGAGGGCTTTTTGATTGGTTGGGGATTTCATCATGAGCTGATATCAGTTGGAGAACTATTGGAAAACCTACTGGACAGCCGTTTCGTCCTAGTTTGGGACACTTCTTAGAGCGCGGCTACCGAGGTTCGAACCCAGGATCTTCTGTAAGTAACCAGTAGAGTGCAGCAGGTTGAAGGGGAGACAGTAATTCGTCGAAGAAGACATTGCCAAGTGATCGCGCTATGCTATGAATTGGTGGAAGTTAGAATTCATGTTTCAGTCATTGGATTGGGTGCCAGTGGCTAAATATATTACCAGCTAGCTCACCTTGTAACCAGAAGGTCCTGGGTTTCAACCGTGGTGGTGGATGCTTACTTCTGAGGAGTCACGAACTAGGATTAAACAGCTGTCCAGTACTGCCTGGTAGTTTCCCAATGGTTCTCTAACTGATATCAGCTCATGATGAAATCCCCCAACCCATAACATAACTTTTGAACATGGGAAGCAGGTTTGCACCTTTTTATGGACAAGGCTTCAATAAATTTAAGTACATTACCCTGTCTCTGTGATGTGCTTTACCAAAGATGAAGTCGGACATCTATTTTTTAGAATAATTGAATCAAGTGATTTCATTTGTCTTTGAGGGTATTTAGGGACATGTTCGGTAGCACTGACCCTCAGAAACCGATGGATACTGCATATGTATGTGTGAACACACATACATGTAAATTGATAAACATATTGGCATGTGACATTATCGTTCGATTGCTGTTAGAGTACACAGAGCAACAACACTTCTCTGTGAAAATAAGTTTAGTTGCATAGTAAGTCCTGTTGAGTGCCGCTTTGAGAGTCTTTGTGTAGTGATCACCCTTGAACGGTAAAGGTGAATATACTGGTTTTAGTAGATGATCAGTTCGGTAAAGTCACTTATTTGGCACTTCTGAGGATAGTTATTATCTTACAGTATTTTTTATACTAGAGTGGACAGGAACTATGATAATTTAGTTGCCGTCCCGTCCACGTTGGTCTTTCCTGTAGGCAGATCGTGCTACTGACCCACCATGTCGGTGAGTTATGAGTTTGTCTAAAAATAGCAGGCAGTCGTTGTTTTTTTCACATATGTCAACAATATGTTATTCTGTATTGTATTCACCCAGTTAGGAATTTATGTGCCGTCTATAGACTTGTTACAAGTAAACACGATGTCATCCATGTAACTCTGTAGTGATTCACCCAAATTCTTAAAAGCTGCGGATATGATACTGTTTACTCCAATCTTAGGCACTACTGTTGAAACTCCTCTTGTTTTATATTTCATGAGTAGGGCATGTAGGAATTTGACTGATTATAGAGTACACTTCCTCACAAAGAAACACCATTAAGTTAATTACTGCATGGCAGGAGCTCGGGATTAGAGTTTCATTCTGTTTTAGGGCTGTTCAGCAGTATGGACACATTTTCTAGACAATAATCGAACTCAGGACCTTCAGCTTCCGAATCTGATTCGTTGTTCCTCTGTATCTTTTAGAAATATAATTTGCACTTAAACTCTGAGTTATGCGTGAATTACTTTGTGTTATTTATCTTCTTAATTCTGCGATTTTATAGTAAGATCGAAATACGCTCGTCCATACAATTCCAAAGAACTTCTACTGAACAAAACTCAATGCAGTCCAATACCTTCATCAAACGACTGCTTAATCGACAGTCCATCAAGAAACAAAGCAAATTATTATCCAACAGCTGATACAAATCCCGGCACACAGACAATTCTACCATCAATGAATACATTTACAAATCAAAGACCATCACTGAGCAAACCATTCACTATAGCATTTCATAATGTCAGCTCAATAGATTCACAGCGTCAATCATCCTCACCGACAATCACTGACAGCTTTCAACCAAGATGGCGTAAACCACTGTTCAGCAATACAGATCTAGGTCATCAAAATCATCTATTTGATGAATTTCCACTGAGAAAGATCTCCGTCGACAATAAACACTCTTCAACACTACCGCTCGGCGTCAAAGTATCAATGATAAATCATCCTGCCAAGTATTCTGATGATATGGAGACAAATTTTAGACACGACGGTATGCTTACCAATTCACATGTTATTATGAAACAGTGAGAGGCACTTCTTTCTCTGCATCATTGTAATTTCTATATCCGAAGAACCACACCCTTTAGAACTTGCTGTCATATAGCAACAAAAAACAAACAATAATTATATATCCCTGTGGATTCCTATTATTACTATTATTATTATTATCTTAAATAGAATGTATATTAATTAGGTGGTTTTCTGTGTTCAGTATTGCCATGATTGCCATCATTAGAAAAAACAACAGTGCATAATTATACATTCCACTAATTGATGACAAATTCCCACTTTACTTCATTTTACAAAAAATAAAAGAAAAACATAATTTGACCAACAAAAATACTTTGCTTTTGACGGTTAATTTTTCTAAAGACCTTTTATTTCTACTCAACAAATTTTTTAAAATGAAAAAATATTGTGCAATACAATCAACATAGCTGATGAATAGTTGTCTTAACTCTGTATTCATTCCATAATTCAGCGTCTGAAATCATTTTTTGCTGATGTTGTTGTCGTTGAAAGAATTTCTCCTGCTTGTGTTTTCTTTTTTTGGATGCATTTATAAGGCACGAAGAAGAAGACTTCTGCTGTCTGTTTGTATACCTCTCTGAATTCTCTTTTCTTCTTCCTTTACTTTTTCTTCTGGTTTCTGCATTTACGACAAGATCGTCTCCCCCAATTTATTATACAACTGTGAACAAACAATTTTAGGCGCTATGACGAAAACTATTATTTATGGTGTGTATATTTTGAATCTTCTAGTCTATTCTTTCCCAATACGAAAACTATCTTCTCCTTTCATACATACATAAACTGAGCAATATTTAAAACAAAACGAAGTACTACGAAACAAATACGCCAATACTACTTATATCAGTATTGCGCTTAAATTTGATAAACGTTTAAAGTATGAAATTATGAACAATTTTCTTTTTGAGAAATATAAATTATATCATTCAAAACAATAATTTAATTTTAGATTTTCCCGTCAATTGATTGGACCGAAGTGCTTGGTCTCAGGTTGACATGTCGGCTTCTTGAGCAGATGCTTCGATGACGTCTGAGCATTTAACATCATCAATCACTGAGAAATGCAGGTACATCCAAATGACGAGTCCCAAATCGGACGAAATGCGCGTTGTCCTGGATTCCACTGCAAGTCACCATCCACCAATCAAAACAATAGTTATTTGAAAATCAAACAAAGAAATGCTTTTTTCTCTAGAAAAGTATAAGTAGGAACTTTGTAGGCATAGGAGATTTGAAGGTTGTTTTTTCTTTGGTGGGTTCGATTTTGTTCTGTTCCCTGCAGTTCTGTTTAGCTGACTCCACAATTACCCATAAACATTGGTCTTCTCTTTACACGATCACATCCACATCACCCTTTGACGCATGCCAAACTCTTTGTTTCATATTTGGGTCCGATTCGAGGGCTTGCTTGGCGCATGCTTTCATTCAGCTGTCTCCTTAACGTGTGTCCAACCCGTCTCCATACTTCTTGGGCAATAGATTCTTGGTTGGTTCGTTCCAAGGGTGCCTAGCTGCTTTATCTTTATGGGTAAGCATTTGATCTTCAGTATGGATCCATTGAAGGCAGCTATTGGTAAAACTTCTCAGCCTATCCGAAATTTCTTTTGTGACACACAAAGTCTTTGAATCATATAAAATAACTGACCAAACAGGTGTTGAGAATCTCCATCTTGTTGCTTATTCTGAGTTCGGTAGATTTCCATACGGATTTTAGAGTAATGCGATTTCATCTTGCTATGCCAACCCTGTCCTCATTGCTGACCGCTGTAGTTGAAATGGAGCTTCTTGGATAGGCAGAAGAAGTGATTTTAGATTTTTCTTGTTCATTGTCACTAGTGCTTAATTGTTTGGTTAGGTATTTTCATCAGCACCACTTTCTCTATGTTCACTTGATGTCCTGTCTTTGCTGCTTGCCTCTTCTGCCATCGTGTTGGTTTTCACCCGCAGATACTGGAGTTTTTGTGATATGAGACACGGATTCACTACCAAGTCCACGTCTTCTAGAGCCTTCCTATCGGTCCAGCGTATTTCCGTTTTCTCATTCCCCATAGTCTATCACATGACCCAAACCACTGTAGTCAGGAGTACTATCGATGATAGTAGACAATCTTGTTAAGCTCCTTTATTCATTCAAAAGATTAAGCTGAGTTCTTCGTTGCGGATCACTTGATATGTTGAATGAGTTTAGTAAAAATTTAGAGCACTGCACTCTGTGGTGCTGAAGCAATTTCCAAATCACTCTGCCGTCAACACTGTCGAAAACATCCTCAAAGTTGGTAATTTGAGGCACGGAGATGACTTTCATTCTATGCTCTGTTCGATCATCTGCTTATGGTTGATGTGAATAACTGTAAAATAAGAGGGAACACTGACGTAATCACAAATAAAGTAATTTTGAGTATATATTCATCTGTACTGAAATGATGTCCATCAAAGCAAGTTGTCATTTGTGTCAAACAGAACATTTGGAAATAAATTTACGTCCATCTTGTGAATAATACAGCATGCGGCTCATTTATTGCACTCCCCATTGTGATATTTAGCTTTGAAATTTGATAAGGTTAAAATTGCTACTGAGTCAGAATAAAGGTATTTGAGTGTCAATTTAACAAGTGTGAAGAGGGTGTGAAAATATACAAAAGAAGCATATGAGAGTGATAATAGTGAATTAATTATTAAAGCAAAGGCCAACTAAAAGTAAGATTAAAAATTACAAAAGAGAAAAGAAAAAAATCAAAATTTTTTAACAGGGAACGATTAGTGAGAAAGTTAAGATCAAGGTAGAATAAGAGACTGGACAAACTTCTTCTGTATACATAGTTCAGGGTTGTATTGATGAATTACCAGCCCCTCCGCCATACACAAAAGCCGAAACCTGACACCCTTTGTACCATTTGGCTTCACTTTGTAGATGATCTTGAAAGACGACTCCGGTGGAGCTACGTGGCCTGAGTTCACCAAATGCTCGAGAATTGAGCTAGTAATTGTCTTACACTGCCCTTTTGTTAACCATGCCGGATGATGTTCAGAGATGTGTTTGGAAAGTGTGCGCTTTGTGCGGCCAATATAACTAGCTCCACACGAGGAGGTGAATTTATAAACACACATTGAGGTGGCCCAAAGCGGCAGCTTATCCTTCACACATCCGTTGATCATTTGTTGGTTGTAGAAATTGATAAGTAGCTCAGCCATAAAGAAGGCTTTCCTCAGTGATCTGCATAAGCGATTCTTTAGGATCTCAGCTGCGGTATCACCTTTAAATTCAACACTCATAAATAGCAGTTTTTTTGGCACCGTCTGGATTCTTTCAGGTTTTTCCCTTAACTTCATGTTTTTCTCGATAAATCTTGGAGGATTTCCATTCTCTATGAGGACTTGTCTGAGTCGCTCCAGTTCCCCATCGATAGTATCACTTGAACATATCCTCCTTATTCTTGAGGTTAAGGAATGGATCACAGTTCTCTTTCTTCTCAGAGGGACCCAGCTATGGAAATTTGTGTACTGACCATTCCATGTTAGTTTCCCGTAGATCGATCTTTGAAGAGAACCATCAGATCTCCTCTTTAGAAAAACATCCAAAAAATGGAATTCCGAGTTAATCTCTGATTCTGACGTGAACTTGATGGCATGATGGCAGCTGCTGAACTCTCTAGTTATCAATTCAATGTCGGTATTGTCGTCATATATGATGAATGTATCATGCATGCATCTTTGGTACAGATGGAAACTGTCGATAGTAGGCAGTAAAATACTATTCTCCAAACTAGCCGAGAAGCAGTCTGAAAGTAAAGGACCCAATGGTGACCCCATTGCCACTCCATTTCTTTGTCTATAAATCGTGTTGTTGAACTTGAACTGGACATTTAGAGTGTTTCAAATCTGACAAGTCACATCCGCTCATGGGGACAAACCAGTCGAACCATTGTTGCTATTATAAGAATTCCATTATACCCGCTTTATCCACATTGCTATTAACTTAACTGCTGTATGTTTTAGTGACCCATAAATGCTGAATTGATGTATATTCCAGTCGGCGAGTGTCAGTTAGAGCTGGAGAGACTACACTATTCAGAATAGTAATTTTTATTATCTGTAGGTACTCAACAACATATTCAACAAGTTCAAAGTGGTCTTCCGTCTCAGTGTTCCCAGGATATTTGCTTCAGAAGCTACACATAAACTGACAAAAAAGTAGGGTTTCAAGAACAGAATTCGCATATGTCTACTGTACGTCATACTAATGAACGGATTACTTTGTACACGATGATTAGCTCCATGGCTGGTTTCATATTTAATCATTTATTGATCGTATCTAGGATGCCTTTAATTGTGCCAAGTTATTCAACAACCAAGTTCAAATTTCCTCAGACAGTGAACCAGATTTGTGTTTGAACAAAGTTGATCGAAAATGGTTATCCTAACAAATTTATCAAGAAACAAATGACAAAGAAAGCGGAAAGGGACTACTCACTGTCTGTAAACAAGAAGCCTTTATATATACGACTACAATTCATGGGCGAAATACCAAGCGAGTTAATTACGAAGAAATTAAGAAAATCAGTTCAGAGAACTTTTAATGCTGGCGATCTACACGTATTATTCTCTACACGATCGATGGTGCTACCTCGAGTGAAAGATGAAGTACCTAGACTAGCCACTTCAAATTGTATCTATCAATTCAACTGCGCTCTGCGTTGCCCTAGGAACTTGATTTTTCGTGCTCGAGAACATATCCCACTATGGCTAAGTAAAGGTGTAGTTAAAAGTATTAACAGCTCGATATTAGACCATCTGGTGCAAACCGGTCACAAAGCCGGCGTAGACGAATCCTTCTCCATAATATACCGGGTGCCTAACAAACTACCAAAATCGTCGAAGCACCGCTTACTCCAAACAGCAGAGGCTATTGCAATTCGTCTCAAACAACCAGTGCTCTGTGTTCAAAAGAAACAAGTCCAGCCCCTACTACTGCCCTGACCCTCAGTAGAAACTATAAACTCATGAATATGTACTATTACCTTTCATAATTCTTCTGACATTCAGCTTATTTTATGTTGATGCTGTTCAGCTGTAATCTATCAATATTATTGATTTGATGTTATTTAAACATTAATGTCGTTCATAAGACTAATTCATTCATTCATTCACTATAATGTATATGTAATTGTAGAGCCTGATGATGAATTTATCGAAAAGAGTACTCTTTGTTCCGTGTCCATTCTTTTGAAAATTTTAATGGGCATTTTTAATCAGTTGAAACGATTGTGATTATAATCATAGTTAAATATAAAGTGATAAAACAAGTAATGTCATATATATAGAATACAGGTGTGATGACAAGTTGACATCAATTAAAGAACTACCGGAAAACTTGAGAGTAATAAACAGCTGTTTCATCTTTGTTTGGGACTCTTCAGTGGCACGTACCCACTGGAATTCGGTAGTTTATGGAGTGAATAGATATTGGAAGGGAGTATATAATTATTGGATTAGTAAGCAAATACAAGATATTTCATGGCTTGATAAGGATTTAACACTGCAAAACTGTTTTTGATTTAGAATGACTGTAAAGGAGAAATTGTTTGGTAAATCGATCCTGAACCATCTAATCACAACA